TAAGAGCTTCTTAAAGCAGAGACTTTGCCCTATAAAATGAAAAAAAAAACTTTTCAATTCGACCAGTTTTCGCGAAGTTACGCTTATTTGAAATTCGCCAAATTTTGATGCAAATTTCTTGTTGCGTTAATTTTTTTGACCAGTGTATATAAATGTTATAATGTGTAGAATAAAAAAATTTGATAAAATAAATTCTCTCTTTTTTTACAGAACAATTATACAATATTTGTACTAGATTGGTCTCAAGCATCGTGTTATAATGATCCAGCCATAATTAATCTGTTGAAGTATCCGTTTGCAGAAGAAAATACACGCAAAGTTGGTGAACTCTTGGCGAGGTACGCTACTTTGTGATGACGTCAACCCATTATAGATAGCTGGTGGCCTGTAATGGGTTAGATAAAATTTGCAAAATTGCGTAAAATAAATATAAATTTAAATAAAAATAATTCTAGTAACAAGAATATTCTTTATATCACCAGCAGTAATTAACAGCTTCGGTGTTTTTATTGACCATATCTGGCATTTTTAATAATACAGAAAATTTATTGCGCAAAATATTACCTGAGCCAGGGTTTAAACGTGGACTTCCCTACTCTCTAGTCTCCGCTTAGAGACGCCCGCCTAGAGAGTATGGAAGTCCACGTTCAAACCCTGGCTCAGGTAATATTTTTTGCAATACAGTAAAAATGCCAGATATTGTCAATAAAAACACTGAAGTTGTTAAAAATAATTGTAGCTGATGGTTTAAATTCAGATAATGTCTTAATAATACTTAAATAACACCAATAATCAATAACCAATAATAAATAATATACACTATGCCAATTGAAATTTAATTTTGAACGTTATATCATGATAAAAATAAATAACACAATCAAACGAATAGTGTTTAAACGTACATAATATGTATCTTTGTACAAAATTTCTTTTTCAGTTTCATTAAGTCATTGATGAAAGTATGTAAAGTTAAATTGAACGACATCACGCTCGTAGGCCACAGTCTTGGCGCGCATATATCTGGCTTTGCCGCGAAGAATCTCAATAACACGGGTTACGGCAAACCTCCGCTTCTCATCGGTATCGATCCCGCGAAGCCATTATTCCAGCATAAACCTTGCGAGTACAGATTTTGCAATTCGGACGCCAAACGTGTAGAAGCTCTTCACACGTCGGGTCTCGGGATGTACAAGTCTGTAGGCCACCTCGATTTGTGGTTCAATAACGGACTAGATCAGCCAACCTGTGGTGACTAATTATTATCCTTGACTAAGGTCCAGTCGCATCAACGTTACTTTAATGTTACTTTAACTAGCTTAATTTACCTTTCGTTTCTTTCTAAGAGAAACAGTTAGAAAGAGAGGAAAAGTGAATTAAACTAAAGTTAAAGTTACATGACGTTGTTGCAACCGGGCCTAAAGCATTTAAGAAAATTGTCGCTAGAGCAACAGCCACCAGGAAAAAGAAAACAAATTTTGTTTCAGATATAGTGTTACCAGGCACAGGTGCTTTGAACATAGGTTGCTCGCATAGTATAGGCATTTATTATCTAGTTAATACATTATTACCTGATTGTGAATATGTTGCCTTTCCTATACCGTAAGTTTACCTTTTAAATCGACGACTTAGATAAACTTATATCAATCCACTTAGTAAATTATTCTGAATAAAAAAATCTCATCGAGTCGAACGAACACATTTATAAGATGGAAGCTACATTATTACAATACATGTACATTATACTCTTATATTTTGTTGCAGAAAAGACGAAACTCTACTTGAAAAGTATGTACAAGTGACAAAATATTTTATTTAGAATAATTTATTTATTAATTCTTTTAGATTATTTATTTTGCGATTCGTGTCTTCTTATGTCTGCTACTTTTACAGAGTTGAATTCAAGTGTACTCCCAACGAAACGCCCGCATATATTATTGTGAATAACAACTTATTCGACAGTAATTACAATAGAACAGGAGACTACTGTGTAATCGTTTCATCGAAATATCCCTATTGTATGTACAGAGAGCAATTGTAGCTGTCAAGAATAAGTGACTACGAGTTCGACATTTGAATTTCTAATTATCTAATTTTACTTGTATAATGAATACGTCTATATTTACCTACATTTTCTGTTGTTGAAATCTGTGTATCCTTTGTTTAGCACATTATTTTGTTGTTAAAGTATATACACTGTTATATTTCTAAAAAGAAATAAATGATTGCGATCTGCATATAAAATTTGAGAGTAATAACTGATAGATGGAAATATGATAATTAATAAGGGATGCGAAAGGGACTACCACCGGAGTTTTATTGCACGTTATTGTATATCTCTGGTTTACTTTACTTTCAGCATTACACTTTAATTATTTAATTTACAAAGCTTCTTCTGTGAACAAGCCAAAATTTAAAAAATAACTTGCCCAGATGATGAGAAAGCAATGTGCAAATTTCCGATTTGCACCGTCAGCCACAATATAGATTGATGTTTCATAAATCGTTTTAGATTCCTTTTTAATACTTTAATGTGAGGAAATAGCGACAAATGCAACATACTTACATATGTTCATCACTAAAAAAATACCGGAAAAACATGTGTTCAATTGGAATTAATATGGTTCCCATACAGCACAACAAGATTGCAGGAATATTGTGGCAATATTTCATTGTAAGAGTGCGATATTGCATAAATGTCGTGAAATATTATTGTGAGATTGCTGCAAGATTGTAGTAATGATAAATAGACTAATCTGCCACAAGTTGGATGTTGCAGTAGCTATTAATATATACAAAGAGCTATTGTACTCATTAATTTGGCACATTAATTCTAACACATGAAGTAATTCTAAATTTTCCATAAGAGAACCAGAAGAGAAATGTGTCTTATAATTGTTTTATTTTTTATTATATATACAAAAAGACATATGTCATAATAATGTCTTTGTTACAAAGTTCGTACTCCTTTAAATTCTTACAAATGTTTCTCTGTTTTTAAAAAAGTTTAGGATGATTAAACTTTTTTATTATCGTGTAGTTTTCTGAAAAATGAGTCATAGTGCATTGTGATAAGAGTATAATTTTCTTATAAATTACGGAAAATAACGAAAACGTTAGTATTCCATGCATGCGTCATTCTATTATCAAGAAACCGTTTTATTTCTAATTTTTCGAATACTTATACTTAACGTGTAAGGATAATTGCACTCTTATCAAACAGAATACAATAACGACCTTCATTTTTCGAAAAACTGCAGAACTATAAACATTTAAAACTATTATAAACTTTTTTGAAAACAAAGAAACAATTTAAAACTGTAACATTATCATTCCACGTGTCGTTCCGTTATCAAAGTAGCAATTTCCACTTTGAAAGAAAATGTAGTATTTTATGAAATACAACGGATAGAAGACCTCTATTTTTAGTAGCAAAAATACATCGTGATACAATTATCATAATGCTTATAATTTCGGTCTGTTTTAAAAATATTTAATACATGAAAGTGTTATATCTTTAAGTTACATAGTGGAAGAAAACTACAAAAAATCTTGTTCGAAATTTGCTATAAAAATTATATATTATATTTTTAAAAATTATAAGTTTGTTCAGTCATAAGCAATAGTTTTCTATATGTACAGCAATACTGCTATACAGAGTGATTCCAAAGATTGTTTACAATATTTTCGAAATGTTGCCGTAACATTTATATTGCAAATTTATACAATGTTTCTGCAACATTGGACTACAATGTTGCAGAAATATCGCAACGTTGCTGCAATGGTGCCAGCTTCTGTACTGAATGGATTCAAAATGAATATAAACATATGCAGCTGCTACTATTTCTACTTCTTTGCTCAAACTCGCATAACAAACTTTAGAAAACGTCCAAGGAAAGACACAGACACATATATTATTACGAGCAACGAATTAAGTCGCGTTACATTGTGTCGTAACAATGTTTGTAACTTTACGGTGATATGTTACGTTGCAAATCTGTACTCACTATATGTATATAACAGGAAATTAACTTCTATAAGATACTTTATATTTATGAATGCTTTTTTATCTACAGGAAATTGCTGTTACGTTTTAGTTAATTGGAAAATTAATGAATTTGATGAAAATTACTTTCGATGGTTGATAATGATCTTAATAATTAATGTACAGGAGAGACTGTTTATATCTTGGTATTTTTGAAAAGAGAATTATAGCTTATTTTTTTATTAAAAAAATTGACAGTCACACGTCGTTAATTTTACTATTCAATCACGTTTCAATTCTCAAACTAGTCGCCACTTCGAGATAACCGAACTAGAAGTTTCCAGGATAAAAAATATTATTTACACAATTGTGTGAGCATTGCACAATTCTTCATTTTTATCGATACTCGTATCTTTAGAACTTTTTCCTTTATCGGGAGATATGTCAGTCATTAATAAACATTCTTATCAAGCGGAAATTATTTTTTCCGTTAATGCAGATTATACATATATGAGATTAAATAAACCCGTCGCGGTTAAAGATAAGAGATAATTTCCTTTGTCACAGAAAATGTATACATAAATAATTAATTCCTACATAGCACATAATATTACGTAATACATATATCAGTAATATTACATATTGCAATGCAATATTACAGTAATATTATAGTGATATATTACAGTAATATTACGTGATACATCACACTAATATTATTGTGTTTATCACAGTAATATTACTACAATTATCTCGGTAATATTTCAATGGGCGAACATTTTAATATACCTAACTGTGATATTTCAGAAATATTACAATAATATTTCTGATATGGATATGGATATGGAAAAATCTCGATATATATATTTAAAAAATGTAATATCTAATTATACCTCTCAAGATACATAATTAGATGTTACATGATTGAGACATACATATTACGAAATGTTTTCCATTTTTTTCCGGGTTGGCTACAGTTTCGGTAATCCATCTCTCATGGTAAAAAGCTGGGACAGGAAAAAAGATTCACCCTGTATATGTATGTATAATAACTGCATAGATTAATAGACAGATCGCCAAAGGCCCGGGCGAAGTCGAAGACCACCACATTTTGCCCCTTACCGACAACTTTACTTTTTGGTGCAAGTCCGGACTAAAAATATCCGATTTTATCAACAGAATTGCCTATGTCGACGAAAGGTAAAATTTGTCGATAAAATCGTTGTACATTTCCGTAAACGAGAAACTTAAAAATTATACATTTTAACATCGACACCGTACAATAAACGCAACTAAATTAACGGTTAATTGAGGCACAATCGTAGGAAAATAATTAAAAATTCAATGTCGCACATGTATTTTCATGTATAAATTCCGTAAAAAATATTTAAACTATAGTAGTATTAATAAATCACCGTGTATTATTTCCACTTAGAAACAACCAACAAATTATACTCGAAGCGACGAGAGACTCAATGCGATGCTACGAGATGTGTCCGAATACGAGCATATCGTTTAAAGAAACAATTATCGTCCGTAATTATCGCAAGAAGTTATAATTTTAAATTATCTAGCGCTTTGATTCTTGGATGTACACATATGTAGATCTCATGTATGAATCGCGCGAGATATCTGGTTTACCGGTTAACCGAGTATCGATGGCAAGTCGCGGGGATTCAGCGATCGCGCGATGATATCGATCACTGGTTATTCGCAGAGAGCGATCGCGGTTTCTTCTCGTACTTTCGCGAACACGTATCAAGAAAAAGTAATACGATATGCTGAACGGTGCGGGGTGCGGGCATAATCGACTCGTTCAATTGTCGCCACGTAAATAATCCTGCGTACGGCGTGACCGTGTTTCCAAGAAATGAGGTAGCGTCATAGACCGAGCGTTGTAAACAACTCGGTAACAAAAACAGAGCGCCGCGCCGGTTACACGAAATGACGTAGCGCCGTGAATACCTCGGTCGAAAACAACCTCTATTGTGTCGAATTAGTTGACGAGGCTCAGTCGAACGAGGCGCATGTTCCGCGAGTGTCGCGTCGCTCCTCGTAACGCGATCGTTTCGTACGAGAGATCGGTCGAAAGCCGAGCGCCGGTTCCGCGAAATGACGTAGCGCCGTGAACACCTCGGTCGAAAACAATTGTGCCGAATTAGTTGACGAGGCTCAGTCGAACGAGGCGCATGTTCCGCGAGTGTCGCGTCGCTCCTCGTAACGCGATCGTTTCGTACGAGAGATCGGTCGAAAGCCGAGCGCCGGTTCCGCGAAATGACGTAGTGCCGTGAACACCTCGGTCGAAAACAATCTTTTGTGCCGAATTAGTTGACGGGGCTCAGTCGAACGAGGCGCATGTTCCGCGAGTGTCGCGTCGCTCCTCGTAACGCGATCGTTTCGTACGAGAGATATTAACACTTATGAATCGCGTTTAATTGTCGCGATTCGTACAAAAGTGCGCGTATAACATAAAGTTTCCGTTCTCGTCGCGTTCGGGAGTGCCGTTTAAGTAATCGAACCAAAGACTTTTCGAAGCCCATTTGAGGGACATGTATTCGTGAAATGCCCGTTCCTGTCGATGGCCACACTTCAGAGATTTGGCAGTATTTTGGGTATAATACTCGTCGACTCGAAGTCGAGGCGAACTTGACGGAACAGAATACATACTTTCACACGGGCTTAATAATCGGGAGTGTACAATCGTGCGAACGATCTTTGTGTTTTCGCGAGTGCACCGGTGGACAATCTGAGTGGAGGAGGAGGCCTGGAAGAGGCATCAGGCGCCAGCGGAGCAACTTTAAGGTAAATATTGTTTATTTAGTGTAAAATTAATCTTTTTCCAGTTCATTTCTGAGTTTTGTTTCGTAATTATATAATTTGGAAATAATAATTATGGAAGAAGAAATGATTTAAAATTTTATAAGTTTCTTCTTGTGAAAATCTTTTGCGAATTAATATCCAACGAAATAAAACGTTTGATACGCATAAGAATTACTCATATTTTACAATACTAATTTCCTTCAACACTGCTTTAATGATTTCTTTATTTTTTTTGTTACAGATTCAACGTAGTCCAACTCCGCTGCTGCGCGTCGGGTGGTAAGTCGAAAACTTTTTTTATTAAGGCAACGAATCTACGTTTTGTAGATCGTAGATTGTAGATTAGTATATCTCGTAGATCCGTTGCCTTAAAATAGATAGAGTACATACAACATAATTTCATATTTATTAATATAATATGTGATGTGCTGCAACGGGGCAC